GCTTGTTTTGAATTGATATCATGTTTATAATTGGATTTATCTATTGTATCAAAGTGTTTGTGAACACTAGTATTTTGCATATGGTTTTGTGTTATGTTGAGTATAGGAGGAGGAGAGAGATTAGCAGGCCTAGGTTTGGGAAATTATGTTCAAATTCAACTTAATTTTTTTGTATGGTATTATTTGAGATTCATTTGTATTTTTTTTTTCTTAATTTGTGTAAATTGGGTTTTTATGTGTGATTTTAGCTTGATTTTTGTTTGATTTTAGCTTGATTTGAGTAAAATTGGATAGTATTATTAATTAGTGATATTAGAGCACCAAAAATTCCTCGAAATCTCTATATTGCATAGAGTATAGGAGGAGAGAGATTAACAGACCTAGGTTTGGTAGATTATGTACTGTTAAAACATAGCTATTATGATGTCCTGTTACTTTAGGCAGTAATGAATAGACAAACTGAGCCTATTATTATTTCTGTGTGGGTTGACTAATTTTACTGATGAGATTAGTTGCTAGTTATTGTATTACTGATTATATGAGGAAACTAAGAACAACTAATGTGTTGAAGTCCAATAATACTCTTTCAAAGTTTTATTCAATGATGCTTGGTATATAATTGATGCTCAAACTACAAAATTGATCAGATGGATCATTGCTGGACGACAAAATAAATTGGTATAGTTGTGTAAAATAGTTATTGTTTTACACAGGACATCAAAATAAGTTATTGAAAAATTACAGCTTTCCTTGCATTAAAATTTGTATATCATTGTTGGTATATGGGTTCAGTGCTAACACTTATTTGCATTAAAATTGTTATAATTTTGCTATTTATGCATCAGATTTGATTTCTTGGTTTTGCAATTAGAATTTTGATATTCTTTTGCTATTTATTGCTACGATTGATGGTGTTTGCTTAGGCGGCTGCTCGTGGTGTGGTTCGGGAGTTGCATCTGCTCGGATTGTGAGGGTCCGTTTACAGATGAAATATTTGGAGATGTATATGAGTTTAAACCTGTTGTTGCCTCTTCATGAAAATATTTGGAGACCTCAAAAACCAGTATTTTCAATGATTTTCTCACTTTTTATTCATCAACAATCATAGATGGTGATGTACATATGTAAGTGAATATTTGTTTCTTTTTTTTTTTGAAGTTTTGTTTAAAAAAAAGGTCACTATGCTATAAAAAGAGGCAACTGCTTTGGTTTCTTTTGTTTATCTTTTCGTATGTCTTGTTACAAGGTGCAACAAGGATTTTCATTCGATTTGGATTAGATTATATTCCTATGGTGAGAACTAGAGGTGGTGCGACTTTTAAAAAAAAGGAGGGACCTTTGCAATATTGTCTTCTATGTTTGATCTCCTGATTGATGTTCTTACTTTGTAAGCTGCTTGTTTGTGTAATTGCATTTTGTTGTATTAAAGTTGCTAATGGAGATGCATCTGAGAACAAGAAAAAGAAGCAGAAGAAGAAAAAGAAAGGAAAGACAGAGAAGGATGAAGAGGTTTCAAAAATAGAGCAAAATGCAAATGCAGAAGCTAAGATAAAGTAGTCAAGCAATCTAAGGAGAAGCCTGCCAGAGTTAAAACCTTTTTTAATACCCTTTATTTTTGTATACAGTGACCTCTGTGTAAATATGGTCAAAATTGAAATAGTGACCCTATTTTTGTATATAGTGACCTTTATGTAAATGTTGTCCAAAATTGATATAATTACCTTATTTTTATATATAGTTGGTTATAATTTTCCTTTATGTTTTAATTTTAGTGTTTTTCCTTTGGTTTTAATTTTTTACATTTTTAAAGCTTCAACTTGCAACATATCATGATTCTTATTTCAAATTCTTCGCCAAAATACCACTTATTACTTTTGTTGTCTTGTAATAGGTATGGCGATGATCATAAGCTTGCTGGATTTTCAGCAACATTGCAAGCTATAATTAATATAGTTATCTTATCTTTTTATATAGCGACCTTTATGTAAATGTGGTCAAAATTGATATAGTTATAGTTACCCTATTTTTGTATATAGTGACAAATGTTGTAAATATTGATATAGTTACCTTATTTTTGTATATAGTTACGTAATTTTTATATATAGTGACTCTACGTTATTTTTTTTTAAATCGTTAGATCTTGTTAGTAATAATGGATGGTTGAGATTTTCTGTTTTTAGTTTTCACCATAAGCCCTGTTTTTAGCGGAACCTCCCCGTATATATATATATATATATATATATATATATATATATATATATATATATATATATATATATATATATATATATATATATATATATTCACAACCATTAGTCGTAGTAGACCAAGTAAATATAGTGCAACTTACAAAAATAGAAAATGATAACAAACGTGAAAAAAGAATAATAGATAGTATTTCTTCTCTCTATTTATATCTAACATTTTTAAAAAAATATAAATACTACTAATAATAATTATTGTTATTATTATACTTATAATAATAATACAAAATATGCCCACAAATAAGTACACTCTTTAAAATGAGTATCCGGGCAAACACCCGAGGCACGTACTAGCATATATATAAAGTGGAGTTTTTTCCCGAATTTTTAGAGAGCCACATAGGATTTTAATTTTTTAAAAATTATTAGAGCGCCATGTAGGATTAGTATTTTTAGAGCATTACGTATAGGATTATGTAGAATTATTATTTTTAAGCGCCACGTAGGATTAAAATTAAAAGTTTAAATTATTATAAAAACTAAATATTATCTTTTTAAATTAGAATTTTTATCTAAGAGAAAAGAAACGATTTATTTTATTTCGTATATATATATATGAAAAAAATAATATTAAACTTAAATATTGAAATTTACGTTCAATTGATATTAAAAAATATTTGAATTAAATAAAAAAATAATGAAATATGAGAAGTGATTATAATAAAATATTTTATAAAAAAATTAATAAAAAAAAAAAATGAAATTACATTCAATTAAAAAAGAAATTATCAATTTTGGATTAGATACAAAAAAATTAAAAAAAATCATTGAAACTAAAAGTATATCAAAACATTCATCATTTATAATTTATTCGGCTAAAAGATTAAGTTCCACGTTAACAAAATTTATCATATCTAATAATAAACTTTATCATCACTTTAAATTCAATATTTTATCAATCCTATATAAATTCATCTAATGTCCCACACAAATAAACGTAAAACTTAAACACCATGAAATTCTTGAATACGATGAACGGTGATGATAATTAAGAAGTCAGTTATAAGTGTTAATTTTGCAAAGGGGTAGGTTTAATTATGCAACTTTTCAGCTGGCACAATCAACGATTGATTTACAAAGGATGATGGAAGCTTAGAAGATCAAATTTTCACCGTGTACACAATTTGAAAAAAAGTTGGTTAAACAAAAACATATAGCTTTACATATTTTATTTTCTTTCTGTTTTTCTTCAAGAGTTGGTTTGTATTGTTGTTTAAACAAAAAATTTACAAAATATACAATGTTTATATATGTGTGAATAGTAATATTATGTATTATGGAGTAATATTTTGTTATTACAATTGAATATTAAATGTTAAATTTAACTATTAATAAAGACGCGGGTATCGCACGGACTTAAATCTAGTAGGTATTATTTGTGACACATATGATGCTAAGTAAGCGAATTTTTGATAGATTTTTTAAGATAAAAATGTTGTATATAGTTTAATTATTGATATACTTCTAATATTTCATATATACAAAATTAATCATAACTTTTAATAAATATCCTATAACTCGGTTATATTTCCATCATTGAAAAAAATTATTTAAAATAAGATCTATTTATAATATATTTAATTTATTTAATAGAGAATCAGTAAAAATAAGTTTTAATTAGTAAAAATAATTTAAGTTCAGTAAAAATACAAATAATTTCAAGTTATTAATAACATAGATATCTATTGACAAACAAAACTACAAAAAGTAAATTGTTATTAATATAAGCGGTGTGATACCTATGTCTAAATATTCTGCATTATTAAAAGGGTTTATATGACTGTATTTAACATTCAAACTAAAAAGTTTATCCTAAAATTTTATCAACAATCCAAGCATTGCCTGGACACAAAACTAGTGTAGTTTAAAGTAGTCACACTTATAATTGTCCTATACTTGTATTAGCTAGCTGTGATAATTGATAAGCATAATCATTTCATTGAAATGTTAAAATATTTATTTTTAAAAATTTTGAAACACTAACATGCCTAGTTAAAGATAAAATTCTCTTTTTCTATTTGACAATTAAAGGGAAGCTGGAAACTTCTAACAAGTAATTAATCATTGTTTGCTTGTTACTTCAAGGATAGCAGATTGATGGATCTTTTTTTTTTTTTTTTTTTTGTAATGTTTTAACATATAATAAGCTTCATTGCCAAGAATTCTGTCAAAGAGTCTTGCACAAACAAAATACAAAATAATTTAAGTTTAGAAAAAATACATAGCAGTACTAGTATTGTCACTCATTGTAAAGAAAAAGTAATTTTTGATGTACTAGTATTGTCACTCACTCTTCAGATTATTAAAATCTTAAATTATCATCATGTAATAAGATGACATAAGAAAGTTTAACTTATAACTTGATCATGATTTGAAATATATTTTCAATTCCAACTTAAAATACTTGAAAATAGATACGAATATATAACACCGCAAATAAAAGGACAAAAAAATCCATGGTTTGGACTTTGAAGAGACTATTACATCATGAAAGTGAATTTATATTCGAGGGCCATACACCCACATATTAATGTTTGCCATGAAGATGTAATAAAAGTGTAGGGTATGATTATATTTATGGTACTTAACCCTTTTGCACAATGTGAACTCTTAAATAAGAGCTTTTAGAGGGCATCATTCTTCCTGAAATAGGCAAAATGATAAAAATCCCACTGCTATTAAGGACTTCAATTATGAAGAACAAGACCCACTTCTTTTAAAAAGTTGGAAAAAATGTTAAAAAAGTGAATCCACCAACAAGATCATCTTTTCATAAATTGAACATTATACATAATATAGGATTATTGTAATGATTAATGATATCTTTCCAAAAAGACTTCTTATGTTGCTACAAAACTTTGTTGGTCCAATCAATTACAAAACATGGAACTACAAAAGCTCTCTTATACGTCAATCACATAAGTGATCAATAATAATTATTGACCAAAGAATGGGACCACGAGTGCTTCCGGAGTAATTGTTCTGAAAATTTGCATACATGGCGGCAGTTTGAATTTTCCCACTCTTGCGATTTGGATTTTTTTTATCCAATCTTAGGGATCGACTGGGACTTATTATGTACAGAGATACAAGACATGAAACAACCAAGGGAGCTAAGTAGTGCAGGAAATCCTGTGACACTTCTCAGTAGATCAGGTTTCGACCAATCTTCGAGAAAACAGGACCAAGTTAAGGAAAACAGTCTTGTTTTCTTTGCCTGCCTATATAATATTATAATAATAATTTGCTGAACCATGATGAACAGCTATAACTCCATCATCTTCATAAGGAATGCAGTCTCCAAGGCCAACTCCTTACTTCTCATGTACCTGTTCTCTTCAACTATCTCAGTTGTTAAGTTAAGCAGAATAGGTCGAGCTGGATCATATACCGTACGTTCTCGGACACGTGCAGCCCATTTTGCAGCTTCCCATACTCCAAATCTGATTTTTGGGGCAGGAAGGAGGCATACAGATAAAGGGGTTAGTGTTTAATATGCATCTGATTGACTGACTCACAAACATTATACTACGGCGTAATGTAGATAAGTGGACAGCATAGTGATTTGAGCTCTAGGCGTATGGAACAAAACATCAGAACACTAAGCAATTACGCATTGTCCAAAAACTTGTGTAGTTGTGCTTGATGAACTGAATCAATATTTATACAGAGACAGAAAATGAACAAAAATAAAGACGGGAAAGAAGTTACCTTGTGCTGAAACATGAGGTAATCAAGACAGCTGGATAAACTGTGTCATTTCTAATATTATTGTAAGGAGAGTATTTCTGCATTACTTGAAAATCTTCAACATCAAATGGATACCCAAATTCCTCATAATCAACTGGAGTCAAGGGTAATATAGGATGCAGAAGGGTGGTTGTTGGATCCAAGAATGGAACCTGAAGAGAATTAGATATCAAACAGTAAGCAACATGGTGTTTGGCAAGGTAATCCCTTCCATACTGCAGTTTGCTCCACAAAGCATAAATTATTACAATAAATAAGAAATGAAACTAGTTCCTTGTAAACCACAAGTGGCATTTAAGTTGCTATAGCAAGGCATCAGAATTCAGCAATAGGCCCAGAGTCTCCCTTTTCTAATATCTGTCTCATTTTTATTCTTCTTTTTTTTCAGAGAGATATGTGCAATTCTCTCGTCAATATCTGGCTAATTTTATCCAGGCTAGTAAGATCCATCTTGAATCTAAGCTTTTAATGTAAATGAACTTGCATGAAATAATTGAAGTGTTATTTGTGATCAAGGTCCTAGCAGGCAAAAGTTGTTAATTTGTTATATACACCAGGTTGCGCGGTGTATCTTGCACCCGGGTGGTCATCAAATGAGCAAAAAATAACCCTGGGTGCATCTTGTACCCGGGTGGTGTATATAAAAATTTTCACCAAGCAGTAGGATAGTAAGATGCCAGCTTACGTTAATCTAGTCAGTAGTCACATTCAACTATTTGACCTTTTCAAGCACAAATGCTGGAATGCTTACATTCTTTAGTTTCCCACCCCCTAAATAGACCAGCTCAGCAGGATAAAAGAGACAAGAGGGGGAAGAATTCGAAATAAAAGAACAAAAATGACCTTCAGCACAGCAACACGGAATAACTCTGGACAAGCATTAATAGCTGAAGCAACTAATAGCCCTCCAGCACTATAACCCCAGGCAGCAAGCTTGTTTTCATCCACAATATTTTCCTCAACCAGGAATTTGCCACAACAAAGAAAGTCTTGGATGGAATTTAATTTCATAGTGCGTCTCCCATCATGGTGCCACTTCTTACCTCTGCCACCTCCACCTCTGAGAAGAGCAAAATTTACAATTACAGTAAGCAGTCAGTAAAATAAAAATTAAGGAAGAATTTAAGCTGTTTTACAAGTCTCAACATACCTGACATCTGCATATGCAATAAGCCAACCACGATCAAGAAGACTTTTTAGTTCACTGCGCCAGCGTTTGTCTAACAGTTCGCCATAAGCTCCATGCCCATGAAGTAATGCAGGGTTCTGATTTCCTTTTTTGTTTCTGGGTGAATAAACGACAGTCAATGGTATCATGACCCCATCATGTGAGCAGACGTTATGTTGTTCACAAGCATAAAACTCAGAAAGGTCATTCCAAAGATTTTCCTCATCCTTATGCTTATTTTCCTCAGGATCAAAAAGAAGAGAACTTGGTGATCTGTCATTTAGTGAAGTAGAGGATTTTCCATATAGAATTCTTGTCCTCTCATGAAGCAGATTTTGTTGCTGAATAATGTTCCATTTGTCACTCATAAGATCATAATCAACCACTGCATCAGGCATCTGTGTGATAGAAGAGGTTGCCAAAGGTTATTAGAAATAGCTAGCTTGCAAGTAAGTACTTCACACAGGTAAAGAAGTATTAAAAGATTTACAACAGAGCATAAGCAAATAGCAAGCACAAAGAGAAGAGAAAACACAAAATTGTAAGGCATTTGAAAAGATCCTAAGGTTCCAGAAAAAAATTGCTCTTGCCTATGCGATATCAACATGGGCAGTGATAATTTGAAAAATAAAAAAATAAATAATAACACTTCGTAATAAACAAAGGGGAAGTTCAGACTTATGATTCAGTTCACTATAATCCGAAAGTCAAAAATTGTTGTGTTAGACTGGAAATGGACACAAGTGCTATACTGGTATGCCTATCAGCCTATGCATGAAAACTAATTGCATGGCATGCAAGACAGGCAAGTCCCATAATTTAAGAAGAAAAAAAAAAGTCCCATTATACCATGCATGGATTAGACAATTACATACCAGTGGAGATGAAACTGTAAAGCGAACTGTGGATGAATTGAAATCATAATTTGGCCCGGGTAAAATTTCACAAATATGCTTCGGCAAAGGAAGGAAACGTGGACTATGCTCCACCAAACGAATTGCTGCCTAAAAGATAAAAGAGGAGCAACATTTAAAGAAATAAATAAATATCGAAAAAATAGCCAAAGATACCTGAGAAATTGCTAAAAAAAAGCAGCAATGAAAGGTCAATATGAATTGTGAGTCACCATAAGCATACACTAAAATTACCTCAAGTGAAGATAGAAAAAAGCTATAGTTTGTTATAGAAAAAATACAAGAGGTGGAGAAATTGAAGCTCCACTTCCCTTTATTTAAGTACTGGACAAGGTTGTTATATGCCTTCTATCATGGCACAGGTAACAGTTTACCCCTTTAAAAAAATAATTCATCAACAAAAAGACACTAGATGAATAAATTGCTGAACTCAGGGTTACCTTATGAGTGGGCAAAGGTAGAGGAACCGTACATAGCCTTAAAGTCTGACCTTCCCTCAAAATAAGTACCAAGTGTGTGTCATTGAAATCAACATCCACGATGACCATATTAGGGTCATCAACAAATACACTCTGCATTGAATGGTCAATAACAAGGCTGTTAATTCATAAGTTTTGACTTTTGAGTTCAGAATATCAACATTATTCTTAGACATATATCATTATTAGTAACAGTATGTAAAACATGATATCCATTAAGACCAAACGCCGCATTATCTTCCAGCCAATGCAAGAGACTTCTATTTGATTGAATTTAGAATTAGAAGCTTAGACTAAGTACCTAAAAAGAGGCATATGTAGCTGAATGATTAAAGTCCAACCACACAAAAGAAGCCACATTTTTTAGAGAATTCAATGTTATCGAATTAAACTGGAGAACATTTTTTTTTTTTTTTTTTTTTTTTGGTTTAAAAGCTGGAGAACATGGAGGTGGAATTAACAAAGAGAGACATGATGCCTGTGGAGGCAGAAAACATAAAGTTAGCATCAACCAGAAACCTCAAATACCTCCCACACTCTATTACCAGGAGCAATATCAACAGGTGAGCGGAGAAGATAATGATTATCAACTGGCTGTCCTTCCTTTGCGGCATCTGTGAACAAATAAAGGTATCCTCGATGATGCTCAACAACACAATGGACAAATGGGTCACCTTCCCAAACTAATGTCATCCCTGACAAAGGGTTGGCAGAATCTATCAAAAACACCTGGAGGTCAATGGGTAATATTGCTTCAGACAAAATCCATATTAAATATAATCCTGGAAGATGGCTACAAGAACTGAAAATATGAAAGTGTTACCTTTGAAACTGTAGTTGAGAATATATATACAGTCACAAACTGAAAATCTTTAGTGTGCCGAATACTAACATAGACATTCTCCTTTGGCTCTTCAAGAAGCAAGACATCATCATCATTTGATCCAAGGATGCTACAATACAGCCTAACAGCAAAGAAACAAAAAAAATAATCAACTATGTTAAGCCATACAAGTACAGCAGCACAAATACACTTCAGATGTAAGCAAGAAGTACAAACTTGCAAGGCCGTTTATAGTGATCAGTGACAACGTAAAACAGTGACTGCCCATCCTTGGTCCATGCCACATTCGAAACCCAGTCAGCCTGTGGCTTATCACACAAAGCACCAGTAATCAAGTCCCTCACAGATAACTTGAAAAAATCGTTGTCTTTGTCATACATAGTATAGGCAATATGGCGGTGATCAGGTGACACCTCACACAGTTCCTCAAAAGCATAACCTACAATGAGAAAGCTAAATGTCAAAAACAAAATGACAACCAATTAGATCAAGTATAAAACATATTATAAGCAAAATATAGAAACCTCCAAATCTCTCAGCTTCCTGATTGTAATCAATCAACTTCTGTTCAATCCTTTTACCAGACGTGAAATCAAACCCGGAAAACGGAGACATATTAGATATAAACTCTTCATTTAAACTTGCCAATCGACGACATAACACTGGAAATTGCTTTCCTTCTTCAACCCTTCTATAATACAACCTGTATATGCCCTTAATTAAGTTGAAACAAACAATTAGTCAGGTTCAGATTCCTGCAACATATTACTCCCCCCAATTGCCAATGTACAATGCCAATCAACAGAACTCAGTGACTTCTTTTCGACGAAATTAATTACTGACAAAAATGTAAATCAATGGTAAGATGGATTTAAGTATTTAAGTTCTTCCATAAATTACCGTTACCCTCACAATGGCCAAGAATAGTGTTTCTCTAACACAATTATATTCCTACAATCTTATACTCCCAATTAAATCAAATAATAAGATTAACTGAATCCAAAAATACAACAAATATAACAACAGAAACATAAATTCCATCAAAACCCATTATAATTTCATAACCCACCATTTAACATTCATTAACAATACCCAAAAAAATTTTAAAAAAATAAGGAAGGAGAGAGAAAGAGACCAGGGACCCCAACGAAAGGGGGAAGAGGAGAGATCGTAAGGCAAGCGAGAAGCAATCTCAGACTGAAGTTTGTTCTGAAGGTGTTGGGTTTCAGATAAGACAGCTTCAGTGTACTTCTCTTCTTGTTCCATGTAAACATCCATGTGTCGCATAGCCACCTTGTCGTTAAGCTTGGACATCCAACTGTAGTCATCCTCCCATGTTTCGCCGTGTGGCGCCGTCATCTTCTCCGCCTTTTTCGGCGGTTTTGGTGGTGTTGGTGGAGGCGATGGTTTTGGGGGCTGTTTTTTCTGGGTTTTCCGGTGAGCATGTCGGAGAAATGAGTACAGAGAGGTTTGTTTTGAAGGTTTGAGATGATGGGTGAGAAGGGATGTTTGAAGGAATTGTTTCATTGAGAGTGAAAAATGCTGAAATTAGGAGTTTGATTTTGTTTAGAGGTTTATGGTGAAATTAAGGGTTTTGGAAGGGTTTGTGCAAAAATGGGTTTTTTTGAGGTAAAAGTGGATTAGAGTAAAAATCATCTAATTGCGTAAATATTCCGTACTCCGACAAAGGTTATGGAGTAGACATGAATTCAATAAGAGTTTACTTGATATTGCGGCGCGTAAATTTTCTGACCTTTAAATTACAGTAATATAGTTCAAGTTTTTAAAATTTGGCCATAAATTGGCTTATGAAGATAATAAATAAATATAGGATGGAGGAAGTATTTTGATACTCTTAAATAACAGAGAGCGTAATTATTACAAGTACTCTCTTATAAAAATAAAAAAAATTACAAGTACTCTGTGTATAAATAGGGGAATAAACAAAGGTTCATAATTTCATACATTACGAAATATATAGTTATGGATTATGTTTTTCAAAATACAGAGTAATTTGCTTGCAAGAACATAGTAGTGAAAACTATGGGGAATTCAACCAAGTCGAAGTAGTTGTCTTCAAACAAGGTCTGAATGTCTAATGTCAAAAAAAAATCTTTACATAACATAAAACAGGAACTTGACTCGCATTGACAAGGCACCCTTGTAGCTTGTAGGAGATAGTTGCATAACATAGTAGGCATGCACCATCTGCAGAAATGATGGGCTCTAAGATACTCATAAGTCATAACCAGTTCTCAATATGACAATAGAGGCATATGCGAAATACTTTTCCAAGAACAATAACAAATAGTTACCCTTCTATTAGATCTACAACCTGCATATTTTAGTACAATTACAAGGATGAATCATGATTGATCCTTCCTAAAAGAGCAAAACCATTCTGTTTAATAAGTTTGATGTGTTCCCAAAAGATAGATTATACCCTACAATTAGGTACCTAAACCAATGAACTTTCTATCCCAAAAGATACACCATACTACCCACAAAATGGTACCTAAACCAATGAGCTTGCTATCCCAATACAGTAGATATGTTTCATGATTCCCAAAAAGGCAGAACAGTAACCATCCTCTTAAGAAGAGAGGTTAAGCAAACTGCAGTACTGCAGTAATTCAAGTTTTGTTCCTCGACCTTAGCCTTCGAGCAATGCTATCAACCTTGATTTCTGAATTGTTTGGATCCTTCATAGCAGAAACAGGTTCTTCTCTTGGAATTTCATTTGCTTTCCACAGACATCTCACCAACAACGTCAACATTTTCTTGAACGGACCTCCTCCCTGATCGCCTGACAAAGAGTTTTGGATTCAACTCATCAACAGAGGGAGTTGAAGATTTTGGACCGTTCATGTTAGGAACAGGCGCATTTACTGAATCTTCACTTACTGTCACTAATTCCTCGCCAGCATCAGTATTTTCTTTCTTAGATCTTTTCCTTGGTCTCCCAACACCCTTTGACTTTGGATCTGATTCACCAAGAGTCGCCTTATTTTCAGATTGTGGGTTGAGTTCAGTATTCTCAACAACTGCTTTGTCATCAGAAACAGTATCATTGGGTAGCTCCATACCCTCAAAAGGAAGAGACCTTTTCACAGGTTGTGAAGCATCAGAACTATTCTCTGCATCTGGAGGAGCACGTTTTGTTGTAATAAGATAATGTGCCACTGATTTGTATCCCAAGTTGCTGATCTGGAGCAGGAAAGGAAAATAAACTAATACAATATACAAGATACAAAACTCTGCAGAAACTACTAAGTTACATGACCAAGAAAGTCTACCCTTTTGTACAGAGCCCCAGTTGGACACCATCCTCTAGCTTGGCGACACAAACTGCAGTTACAAATCCCACGACAAGGAGGGCAAATCCAATCTGGGTTTTGATTGGCTTCTACAACATGCTCCCCATATCTGTCATTGACAACCATTACAGAAACTATAGTCTCAGAATTGATGGTGAAGAATAAAGATTGTTACACAAATAATTAGATCTGCAATGGTCATAGTCGCACAAACCCCATCTCAGTTCAATTAGCAAATAGATTTATACAAAGTATAACATACAAGTACATTGCTGGTGCAAGATGCAGCAGGTTTCGCTTTTTTTTCTCACCTGGTTTCAAGTGATATGGAGAAGACATACAATTACAGCAATTGAGGGGACAAGTGTGAACCTTATGTGCCCAAAGACTCATTCATTTAAAAGCAAGTTGAAAGTATGAAGAAGGTGTTGACCAAAAGTACAGAGAATAAGGAGTACGGGATTGAAATAAAAAAAAATATATATAAAGATATGTTGAAATTTACTCCATGACTCCAAAGGATCAGACCAGTGTTACCAAACCCCCTTGCAAACTGCAATGAGTGCAATCCAAAAATAGGCAAATTAATATCTGTAAGTTGTACATATTTGGCCTTATTTAACAATTTAGGTACGGAATTATATTCCCATACCAAATTAGACAGCGAATATGGTAGCACTGATCAAAAAAAGATTACCACCAGAAGCAGAAAACCCTGAGTAATTACTCAAAAAGAGATTTAGCTTGGATGCTTTGTGCACTTCAACAAATTTGTTGATTCAGCTGGAGTCTTCTGCTTTCTTTGATTTCCAAAATAAGAGGGTGTGGTAAGATGTAGAATTTAGTCTATGTACTATAACTTTGCTTGATCACATATCATATATTTCCACACGTATCAGCTTTTCCTATGGCCGCAAATTTGGAAATCTTGGTTCTAACAACAGAGTTAAAGCCTTTTCATAGTAGCTTGTTTAGAAGTTTTTCAGCCACTTGAGTGCATTATCCTTGATGTATGAGTCTAGCGCCTTCAGAATTTTCTAACTTGAGAGGAGACTAAGGTTTTTTTTTTTTTTTTTTTGGGGGGGGGAGGGGGGGAGCCATGCTTTGTAATGATGTGAGCATGACTCATAACACACTTTTTTCTTTTCTTATCTCTAGTTTTAAACAGTACTCCAGTTTATCTGAATAATACATATGGAGGAGAATAAAGAATATGCATACCTCATCATAAGACAATCCCCACAAAACTGTCCTTGGACAAGATTGCATTTGCTGCAGCGAGTGCGCTGTCCAAGAGTCTTCTGCCTGTGAAACAGATGCATTTTGGTAAATATCTAAGAGTCGAAACTCAAAAGGCACAACAAGGTCCATGAAAACGTACAAGCAGTTGCATCAGATATAATATGCGAGACACTGTGAATCCTAACATACTCAGAACTTGGAAAAAGTATAGCATTTGCTCCACCACAAAAAATTTAAATGATTCTGGCAGTATCTTGGTCTACAATCCACCATACTTGGTGAAGTAAAGAGACACCCTAAGGGGCTGGAATGGGTGTAATGGGAGGGGGGAAAATACATGAGTAATAATTCTGAATTTTTTTAAGTTTGGATCTAGGGTAATTAATCAATGGGGTAATCAATTCCCCTAAAAAGGGGGTTAATAATTACCCACCTCCCCCCTAGCATAACAATTTCCCCCGTAAAAAAAGCACTCTCCTCTGCTATACTGCATCTTCCTTCTCCCCTGCTATGTACTATCTCCTTCACCTTCATATCCATCCGCCCAATTGAAGTTGTTGCCGCCATTACAGCCGCTTAATGGAAGCTGCTAGCCGCCACCACAGCTCATCAATTCCGGCGAATTACGAACAAGTATCTTGAATCGGACCCATTAGTTGAAAAGATAGTTGAACAAAAGGTTAGGGCTTTTGATCCTTCAAGTGAGGTGATGCTCGTGGTGGTCTCAAATTTATCAACGACATGGTGGTTGCCGCCGATTGCCATGAATTGGTGGTCTTTACCCCAGGATTGTTGCCAAACCTTAGAAAATGAATTATTACTCTCTAAATCAATGCTCAAGTAGAATCTACCCCATTAGATATTACCCCCATCATAATTTCTGGAATTCCAGGCATGCCCTAAGTATCACTATTTCTCAATACCTGTTGACTAGTCAAATATTCAGCAGAAATTGAACTTTTTAATAGGTAATTTAGGCCATTCTTAGAAATGTAGGTCCAAAAATCAGAACAAGGCAGAAACCATAAAGAGGTAAACATACAAAATGTCACTTCGGATCCAAACATACAAGGAAAGGATTTCTCACTGCAATGACAAAATCATCTCGTAAATCCTTAGTATAAAGACTTGTACTCTAGTGTCACCACCAAATTCTGACAAAAGGCTTGACCGCTTGCTAGTTCGCACATAGAAGAAGAGATTTCCCAATGCATTGGCTACAGTGAAATACCAATACAAATGCCTAAGACTTTGATCTCTCCTAACGTCCTAAATTCTGATTTTAACAAAGAAAACAAAAAATCCCACTTTCAAGACAAAGAATCTTGGTAGCTCAAAATTAGAAGTTGATCCCATTAGGCAAGCAAATGACTGGCTAAAACGTAGTATAATATCATGGAATAACATGGAACAGGAATTACCAAATCAGATAGACACTACAAAATCCATAGTTTAGCACTTTAGCTTTAACAATATAAAAGAGTTAATTAAATTCCTTCACATCACAGGATAATTTAAAATTTCCCAAGGAATTCGTGCAACCGGTTTTTCCGGCTCAAAGGACCTTTTAGATTCTATAATAATTATAAACAGCAATGCTTAACCAAAAGGTTAAAGTTAAACATTAAGGCACTTCCGTTTGTCGGATGTAAAATAAACTTCCACCCATATCTATCAACAAGTTCTCGATACACACACCTCCAAACACATAAACATACATAAACACATACACGCACACGAAACAGTAAGCAATAATGAAATGCTTAATGAGATAGCAAATGACAATGAAACCCTCACCGGCACTGATGGCAAGTCTTCCCACTGACCGGATCATAAATCCGAGTTCCATCCGCTCTATACCCATCGACGAAAAATGTCCAGGGCATCTCCGTATTCCCCAACAGTTTCTCATGCTCTTCAGTATAAATCTCGGGCTTTGCCCCCTCTTCCAACACAATGTCCCTACCTCTTTTTGGTTTCTCCTCCTTTGGCTCAGTGTAGGTTACTGGTGGCGCATTTTGCAGCCTAAACCCCATCAAAGCGACATCAGATTCATAATCCCACTAAACTAATAATATTAAAACATAAATTGCTAGCATAATCGATTAAATAATTCATGCAACACATTTGAACATCACAATTCACAATTTTAGTAGCAAACCCTGAACAATTTCTTAAAAATTGTCACAACCCACAACAAATTATCAAAAATATAATGTCTACCAAAAATCCTACTTTAAATCTTCAACAACATCTGATCAAATCTCTAAAACCCAGTAAAAAAAAAAAATACCAATATAAGAAATCCCAGAAAATTAATTGTGTAATCAAAGCAAAATCAAATAGAATGAAGAAGGTAAGAGACCTGGAAGAACGGCGGCGTTCAGTGGGGCCCGAAGGCGGAGACTTGAGAGGGGTATTTCGGTCAAACTGAGTTCTTCTTGGTGTTCGTTTAGTAGCAACAATGGACTTAAGTTGAAGAGAGAGATCGACAATGCCAAGTTTCTGTAAACGTTCACGGTTTTCTTTGATCCGGTGCTCTCTCGTTTGCTCATAATTCGAAACTGTTTCAGCAACAACAGCAGGTTGCTGTTCTTTCTGGGGTTGTTCCTGTTGCTGGGGTCGTTCGCTGTTGTTGTTTGATTTGGGAGTGATTTCAGCAACAGGGGGAGGCGGAGGAACTGGCGGAAGAGGTGGAGGAGTTGCCTGAAGTTGGTGTTTGGCAACGGCGGACCTCCGTGTAATCGCCATTGTTGGTGACAGGAGAAAAACCCCAACGGTCGAAGGGGGGAAAGAGAGGGGTTTATAGAACTCAAGACTGAGGTTGAATTTTTTTGAACAGTGATTATTTTATGTACTCGTATTTCATTTTCAGTTATTATAGTAATAAGAGAAGGTAATTTTGTATAATATAATGTGGGCTTAAATGGATAACTGTTTGTTACAAATAGAATGGATATATACTCATATACTGGCCCATGGGAGCTCATTGTGATGGACACGTGATTGTAAACAATATGTATTCTAACATAGACAATGATGTACTCTCTCTATCCCTGTTTTTTTTGTCTCATTTGATTATGCGCGGTCTTCAAAATGCGTTTTAAAATGTCTATATCTTTATTTTCATATATGTAAAAATTATAAAGACATGATATTAATAAAATATACAATGAGACGAATCTAACAAGACCACTCATGACTATATTATCTTTTATAGATTAACGGTAAATTATGGTCAAAATTTTCAAAGTTTGACCCAAAAAATGGCAATGGGGCAAAATTAAAGGGACGGAGGGAGTAACAGGTAAGAGAATGGTTTATGATTATGATTGTGACTGAATTATTGTTGATCGGGATATTTGATATTCGTAACATATTTGGAAGGTTATTGTGATAAAAATTAGGAATCTGATTTTGTAATAAGGTAAGATAGTGATTAAGTGTATTCTATGCATAAAAAAAGATTATATAGAGGAAAATTCACACAATGGAAGCGGAATTATTAGATAATGATGTATGCATAAGGTTAATTGGTGATTGGGTCCAATCCAGTCATTCTGATTGGGCCAGTCCAAATAATTCAATTAAAAGCTCAAAGCAAGGTTCAACCTTCCAAAGCATGCTAAAGTCAACAGAATCCCAGTCAACGTGGCAAGCCCACTTGACTTCAAGGGCTCAAGCCTCCTCATTCAAGCAAAGGTATAAAAGCCATCAATTGTCTCATTTATGGGGATCATGCAACAAAAGCCTCAAGCCCAAAATCTCTTGCATAGCTTTCTCTCTCAACTGAACTGACTTTAGCATTGGAGAGGCCTTCCTCGGCAATCACCCCCGAGGCTAGTTTACGTGTTATTTGCTATGCAGGAAACCCTCGCCTCCGATGTTCTTTAGACCGAGATCGATCTTCTCCCTCAAAAGGAATCTGCCGAAAATCCCATTGTATCCATCCGGAACAATTGGCATTGATAAAAATCTTAAATTGGCAATGATTTAGAGATGCATGATGCAATCACACAATCATTGATATTATCAATGATGGGTTTTAGTAAGATCTAGTTTGTATCCGTACTATGTATGGTCACAACCAGTCAACCGTCATGCAAGTTAACTGAATCATAATAAATTTGTTTTAGAGATTTTGTTTCCATTTCTCTTTGATGTTAAAGATATAAGAATGCTTATTGTAGACATCTTTCCCGCATGGATCGATAATGTAATAATAAAACTAATGTGTGGCCCGGACGATGTCTCGGGTTGTTACTTTGTACTCCGTATTTGTTTAGTGTCTTCTTCATACCTTCACTTATATACACATGCATCAAACTTATTATAACATACATCAATTATATTAATTTAAGAGCACAAAATAAAATTACTGGACAATTTGTGTTATCAACATTCAATTGGAATTACGAAAACCACAAATTATATTAATTGATCCCCGGTGAACAAGAACTCTTCCATCTCCTAAAACATATACAATTGTAGCTCCACATCTTGGGTACCTTCTAAAATTTCATTTCCCATCTCAACTAAAAGTATTGTAATTAATTAACTTAAATCACTATCTATACCAACAACAAAGTCCTCCATGCGTAAGACCAAATTAGAACAAGCAATTATAAACCGTCAACCTAACAACACCTAAGCTTCACCAATAAACCCATCTCTCTACTTACATGCAACGCTATCACTTTTACCAAGAGTAACACTTATATTTAGATTGGTTACTATTATACGCATGTCCATTAATACACCAATTGTTGCTAAACTACCTCCTTGAATTTATTCATATATATGAATATCATAATACACCATTCCATATTCTTCTCAAACCATCCATTTACTATTATAAGCTTGAGTCAAACCAAATTTATCAATTTGCTCGACGTTACAAGTTTTCTTCATACCTTCACATAAATACACATACATCAAACTTATTATCATTTCTCTCTCAGCCGAGAGCTTTTCTTAAGTTTAAGCAAGCTCAAAATGGCATTTTCGTATTCTCATTTTGATGTTAATCGTCGAAGAATTAATTTTATGACGACTTTGATGATGGTATCAAGTTTGTTATGTTTAATTCCAATTGGTAACGCGGATGATAATGATAAAGCGCTAGGAGCTTCCTTTATATTTGGAGACTCTTTGGTGGATGCAGGGAATAATAACTACTTGAGCACATTGTCTAAAGCTGATACAACTCCAAATGGTATTGATTTTAAGGCTTCTGGTGGTACTCCAACCGGCCGTTTTACTAACGGTAGAACCATTGGAGATATTGTAGGTAAATTTTCTTCATATTTTTTAGATCAACATTTTCAGGCCCAGCCTGTTTTTATTGGGCTTGGTCTGAGTTTCAGGCCCACTACAGTTTGTGATCTTTGATGGGTTTTTTTGGGCCTTACAGGAGAAATGATGGGCATCCCAACTTATGCTACTCCCTTTTTGGCCCCAAATGCTACCGGAAAAGCCATACTATCTGGAGTTAACTATGCCTCAGGAGGTGGTGGAATTTTGAATGCTACTGGAAGAATTTTTGTAAGCTCACCAATCCTTTTTATTTAATCTAAAATCTGAGTTTTTTTCTTTCATCTAATACGGAATACAAATAACGTATGGACGATTCTATAGTGGTTGCCATTTAACGCTTGCCAATATAGTGCTTCAATCCAATCTAACATCCGAGTTATCAATTATTTTATGTTTTTAACACGATATGTGCTACTTTTTACGTAAATAGAATTAAAGGAAACATTTGGTTATCTTGCAATTGTAGGTAAATAGGCTTGGAATGGATGTTCAAGTTGATTACTTCAACATCACAAGAAAACAAATTGACCAATTGTTAGGAGCTTCCAGTGCAAGAGATTACATACAGAAAAAATCAATATTCTCAGTTACAGTTGGATCAAATGATTTCCTCAATAATTACTTACTTCCGGTTATTTCTATTGGAGCCAGAATTTCTCAAACTGCAGACTCATTTACTGATGACATGATTAATCATCTAAGAGACCAACTTACAGTGAGTTTTACTTCAATATATATAGTTAATCTCTTGTAATTATCGCGGTATCTTAATTTAATAAGCTGATGTTGCATTTCATTACTATATGGCAGAGGTTATATCGGTTGGATGCTAGGAAGTTTGTGGTGGCGAATGTTGGACCGATTGGGTGCATTCCTTATCAGAAGACAATTAATCAGTTGAACGAAAATGAATGTGTGGATTTGGCTGATAAGCTAGCACGCCAATACAATGCCAAATTAAAGGATCTTCTTGTTCAGTTGGGAGAAACTCTTCCTGAATCCACCTTTGTTTACGCGAATGTCTATGATCTTGTCTTGGAACTTATCACTAATTACAGGAAATATGGTACGTGTCACACTAATGAGTAGTCCGTTATAACAAACTTGGTCTAATTAAAATTTTATAAACAGAACAAGGTCTTAGTATTTTTTGTAACAAGTCTCATCAATACGGAGTAACTACATACTCTTTAATTTTCTTGATTATTGTGTAGGGTTTAGCACAGCAAGCAGAGCATGTTGTGGAAATGGAGGGCAATTCGCGGGGATTATTCCATGTGGACCGAGCTCAAGTTTGTGTACTGACCGCGATAAACATGTGTTTTGGGATCCTTACCACCCAAGCGAGGCGGCTAATGTATTGTTAGCCAAACAACTACTTGATGGAGACACCAAGTACATCTCTCCCATGAACCTTCGGCAACTAAGGAACCATTGATTGTGGATACTCCTATGTTTTATACATGTACTTTTGTGTATGCATGTATTGCCTCGTGTACTTTTCCCTTATGTCATATAACAAATGTTTTTGTAACTTAACCTTTAGTATACCTCAAATGTAATGTAATTTTTTTATATTTTTTTTTATATTATTACTATTATTTCCATATATATAAGAAATTATTCAGACATTCAAAACATAGTGCTGAAAATAAGTCATCCATATTCAAGTAATACAAGTAAACCATCCAACTGAAAGTCAAATTTAATTACCAAATCGTTGCCTACCAAACAATTACTGTTTTTTTATCAAATTATCATTACGTTGTACCAACACTACCAACTAGGCAACAATATCAAATGTCACTATTAATCATTTCCAAAACTAATTTATGTGTACTAATTTGTATACTTGTTTAACAATTTGCTTAATATTGAAATGGGCCTGGTTGGTTTGGATCGGTGAAATTCAGACTGGACATGAGATCGGAATCATGTACTGCCCGACTCAATTAGGGGTTTACGTTTTGTTTATGTTTCTTACTCCGTACTAATTTTGGTCTTTCATGACAAAGTTATATCATATACTTTGTATACGTATTACATATTTCCTCTAACTCTTTGTTATTGGCATCAATCTAACTCTTATATATTCTTGTTAGTATAGTGTTGGTTATATACAATGTTATGTTAATTTTGTGATTATTAGACTTGTGAGAATATGCAAGAGCAAGGATTGATGTTAATTAGGTTATGTTGTGTATTTTTCTTCATTCAATTCCATGATTACTAATCAAACATGTGAGTGAATAAATTTACAATTACAATTACTATTTTTAATAAGAATATGTTTGATCAGTTTTTAGGTCCAATTCGCACCTTGTTTTAATAAATATTGTACGTTTGTACCTAAACAACCTAATTAGGATTCTGTGAGGTCATTATCATCCCCTAAAACATTAATTGGCAGTACTATTGTTATTCACCTTAAATCTAATCTGATTAAGACGTAATGAACCAAATTAGTACAAATTAAGTAGGTACATAACATGGATGCATTTTCAAGGCAGCTTCAATTCAAGACAAAAATCAACCCCACACCATTCAAAGCCATCAATATCATATCATAGGTGACTGTAGTCACTGTACTATATAGACGCATGTATATTATATAGTGCTCGGAATTTGCTTAAGCTGTAATAGTGCAATTGACAAGTAGTATGTACAAGCTATGTGATAAATTGATTT